TATGATGGGGCTTCAGAGAAAGGAGCAGTCACTTGTGCTTGGGGGTGAGCCAAGCAACACTTTTCACCAGGTCTTCACAGGAAGCCATACTGAGCTGAAATGTGAAAGTAGAGGAGTGTTAACACACTGAGATGGGAGATGCAGGTGTTCCAGACACCCACTGGTCAGACAGACCAGTGACGGGCGAGAGCCGAGGCCTGCTGGAGAAGCCCAGAGGTCAACTGTGGCCATCGCGGGAATGTGGGGATGTGGGCAGTGAGAGAGAGAATGAGAAGGCGACTGGGTGGGATTTGGGCTCCAGATAAAGAGCTTGAACTTCATTTGGCAGAGGGCTTTGGAGCAGAGAGGTGTGCGATTGGACCTAGCAGCAGCAGGTAGGACAGATTAAAGAGGAGGGATGTGGCAGGTGGAGTGATGAACCCGCTGTTCCACCGTCCCCAGGTGAGAGAAGACAGAGAGAGGGTCCTGAGAGGAGGGAATGGAAGGGAAAGCAAGGCGGAAGAATGGCTCCAGGGCAGGAGGAAGGCTAGCGGTCTCTGTGGCTGAGGTGAGTGGATTGCCTGAGCCCGTGGGTTCAAGACCTGCCTGAGCAGGCGAGACCTCATCTCTACAGTAAATCAAAAAACCAGCTGGGCATGGTAGCATGTGCCTGTAGTTCCAGCTCCTTGGAAGGCTGAGGCGGAAGGATCACTGGAGCCCAGCAGGTCGAGACTGCGATGGCCGGGAACGGCCACTACACTCCAGTCTGGGTGACAGAGTGAGACTCCAACTCAAAAAAAAGAAAAAGAAAAAGGAAGTAGGAAGACAGATAGGGGCAGGCAAGCAGTGCACCCGGGTTCCCCCAGGATCTCCCAAAGAGCTCACAGTTGCACATCTTGGCAGAGTCCGTCTTAGACATCTGGTAGACCAGAGTGTGCAGTCACCTTGTAATGGAGTTCTTCCAATCAGCACTTCCCTGCCTGCCTTTCCACCCCACTTGCCCACTTCCCCACCATTGAGGGGCCAGAAACTGCAGTCGGTGGGCTGGGAAAGAGGAAGGGGTTTAACTTAAAAACCAAGGTGGCAGTTTCCATTATTAACTGGGATTGTTACACTTTTACTTACTGACATGAGACTGTTGGCTACTTTAAGTGACTGAAGTACTTCCAGTCACCTTGATATTATGATCAGAAAAGTCATGGGACCCACCTGAGTTTTCCTGCAGGGCCAGGAGCAGGTGTAGGTTTCATAGGGAGACAGAAACTGTATTTCAGATATATGCCCTGATCCTGAGTGTCAGACAACCAGCTGCACAGTTAGGGAGTCCTGGCAAGCAGTCGACACCAGCATGTCCACCATCCTTTTCCTCATCCTCCTTTCCTGGGAGACTCTAAGCAAATTAAAGTGTGCTCAACTGCAAATCATTTAAACCAATGTGTTATTGTCTCTGCAATGTGAATGTGCCAAGGGACAGGGACATCAGTTAATGACTGGTCTCTAATTTTTGAATATTAGACATCAGCAGGGTGCGGGGAGATACTTGCTGGAGGGATGGAGGCGTTGAGAGACCCCCAGGGACTGAGAGACCTCAGCTTAGAGAAGTGGCATAACCATGAGAGATCCCAGCCCCTTGAGCAGTGCCCTCGGGACAAAGAGGAGTGGTTTAGGCTGGCCTGTTCACTGTGACCCTGCTCTCCAGACCTCTGTGACTCTGAGGTCCACCGAGTTGCCTTTCAGACCCCAAAAAGAAAAAACAACACACCAGACCCTAAGTTCTACTGAGTCACTTTCACAAGAGGGCTCTGACAGTTCTGAAGTGTCCGTCCTCGTCCGTCCTCGGAGAAGCTAAATGGAGCTAGAGAAATCCCAGCTCTGAACATGTGAGGTGTATAATCTCCTCCCTGACCAGGGCACTCCAGTCCACGTTGCCCAGTGTGGCCTTGATGCCGCTGGCTAAACCGTGGTACCAATGTTTCCTCTTCAAATTCACTAAGTGTGAGAAAGAGAAAAAACATGGACATATTTTATTTTCTGCCAGTACTCAAGTTATGTTGAATTGTGAACTTAATTTTTTCAGGAAAATTCTCTTCTACACAATCAACCTTTTGTTCCATTTTGTAACAAAAAATTTCTCCCAGAGTAGGTTCTTTTAGACTGATGTATATTGTATATTAATATATATAAAAATTAAATATGAAAATGTATTTAGTGCATATTTAAAATATATATATATATTTATATATTCAGGGCTAAGATATAAATTAAAATCTATTACTTAGTACCATGGTTAATTTTATGCCTTCAATATTGATTGTATTTATTTCTTTTTTTCTTTTAATTGTTTATTTGGGAATAGTTTCAAACTTACAGAAATAGGAAATAATACAAAGATCAGCCATATACCCTTTGCCCAGATTCACCTATCATTGATATTTTATCCTGTTTGCTCTGTCTAGGCATTTTTTTTTCTGAACTATTTGATAGTAAGTTGCATACATCACAGCACTTTATTCCTAATCAACTCATTGTCTGTTTCCTAGCATGAGGGACCTCTCCCATGACTATGGTCCCCATTACTGATGTCGGTAGCCTCTCTAGACACCCATGCTTAAATTTGCAGGCTGCTGAAAGGCTGGTGCCTGTTTTAACATTTCTGTCACTGGTCTCAGCAAAGGAGATCACAGCCTGTGGCCTTCAAGGCCCAGACTCGTGCCAACATCCCTTTGCCACCTATCAGACACCTGCACAGCTGTGGGGTGCTAGTCCCTAGGACTCTCAGGACCGAGACCCCCGTCTACTCCCTTGTCTTGAGCCGAGCTCCCCTGTCCTTTCTTCTCCAGCTCCCCCTCTTGGTTCTATCTGGAGCATATGGAAGAGCATCTTCTGATGAGGTTGGCAATTTGGCAGCACTTTCCACTCTAGATGTTATACTTCCACAGTTCTGATGTTATTTCTTGCAGTGACAATAGACTGACCACGGTCAGTACAGATCCTAGACTTCACTGGGATCCAGGCATCAAGCTCATTCCCACCTCAACCTCCTGCCACCTGTGTGGAGTCAAGGACCATGACAGCAAGCAGGGCCTGATGCCTAGTACAGCCCTGGCTCCTGGACACCTGGATCTGAGGCCAAGTGTCAGAGGTTGGTTCCCAGGCTGGCTTCAGACATGTCCAGGCATGTCCAACCCATGACCCTCCAGTTCCTCGTGGCCCAGGACAGCTAGTCATACGACCCCACAAAATCTTTTACCATCATGCATTTTTAGCATTTTATTTTCTTTGTGACCCCATGCGTAGTTCCATTTTTGAAGTTCACAATCACACCTTATTCATGACATAGCTTACTGGCAGCACACGCATTTGTGAGCAACTGTTTTCAATGATGAAGAGCAAAATTCAAACAAACATTTCTGACGAGCACCTTGAGAACTCACTTGGAATTGCGACCACTTCCATTGAACCAGATGTGGGTAGATTAGTTTTACAAAAACAAGGTCAAACTTCCCAATAGTTATATATTGTTCTCATTTTCCTAAACCTTATAATAAAAATATGAAAAATATGTCTTATTATATATATATACACACTTGCATAACCCAAGACAATTCTTCTTGACTCAGTGTAACCCAGGGCAGCCAAAAGATTGGACACCCCTGCTTTAGTCTGTCCCACGGGCACCTCACCCTGACTCATCATAATCCCTGCCTCAAGTCAGCTCATCAAGCCAACGACAGTGAAGGGGTTTTCATAGAATTAAGAGTCAGGCCACATTCATCAGTTGGTAGCACAAATGCCTTCCGGAGAAGTATAAGATTATTCTATTCCAGCTGCTGAAATCCCTTAAATAATCTTCAGAAACTGGCCTGCAAGTTCATTTCCATAGCTCATAAGCCTTCTTGGGATAGATTGCCTCCAAAATATGGAAAAATGGTTTCTTACCTTGGAAGTAGATTTACAGTCCTCAGTGTTTTGTGCTGGCTCAAGTCCCTGAGATATTTGACCCAAGCAGGAGAGGTCAGCTCTGAGGAAGGCAGCTCTGATTGGTGTCTTTTTCTCTTACGTAATTCCAAGGGTGTGGAGGGAAATCCCATGGACTCATGAACTGTGCTTACAGTGCAAAGGACACGCGTATTTATGCAAGCTCTACACATCTTAGACTGTACAAGCAGGATTATTTTCATTCTTCTGATGGCGTCTTCCCATGGGAGTAGAGGGCTTGGGCTGTCGTGGCTGGGGAGTGAGGGTTAAATTGTCCATAGTACAGAACTGCAGACTTCCCCAGATGCAAATCCTTAACAGAGAGCATTTCTATTTATTTATTTTTCTAGAGACAGGGCCTTGCTCCTGCCCAGACTGGAGTGTAGTGGTGCTATCATAGCTCAATGTAGCCTACAACTCCCAGGCTCAAGTGATCCTCCTGCCTTATCCTCCCAAGTAACTGGAACTACAGGTTTTGCCATCACACTAAGAGACAGGATCTTGCTATGTGGCCCCAGTGGGTCTCAAATTCCTGGGCTCAAGTGATCCTCTCACCTTTGCCTCCCCAATCGTTGGGATCATGGGTGTGAGCCACCACACTCAACCAAATTTTTAATGAAAATTAGTTTTGTTCCTCCAAATTAGTTTGGGCTTCTTAGAAGATGGAGACGACTGGGTGTGGTGGCTCAAGCCTGTAATCCCAGCACTTTGGGAGGCCGAGGTGAGGGGATTGCCTGAGCCCACGCGTTTGAGAACAACCTGGGCAAATTGGCGAGACCTTATCTCTACAATGAATAAAAAAATTAACCTGACGTGGTTGCCTGTAGTTCTGGCTACTTGGAAGGCTGAGGCGGAAGGATCACCTGAGCCCAACCGGTCAATGCTGGGGTGGCCGTGAGCATGCCGCTGCACTCCAACCTGGGTGACAGAGGGATACTCCCACTCAAAAAAAAAAAGGACATGGATACTGCTTGCTGCTGATTCCTAACATTTTGCTTCCTTTCTTTTTCCTCTCCCCTCTCCCCCACTCACCCTCCTGGCAGCTGCCCATATCTAGCTGTGAGAATCACTCCTGCCATCCCTGTGGTTGGTGGCATCCTGTTCTTCTTTGTGATGGGGACCCTGCTTCGCACCAGCTTCAGCGACCCCGGAGTCCTCCCGCGAGCCACACCTGATGAAGCCGCAGACCTGGAAAGGCAAATAGGTAACTCAGAAGACCTGCCCTTGGCCTTTGGTCACTTCCTACCTGTGCCCAGTCATAGTGTGAAGGGAAGGCTGGAATATTTAGTGTGCATTCCCTTGTTTGGCAGGATGGCCTGGATGGGAGGGAGGATGGAACGTGGTAAGGTAAGGCTGAGGAGCTGGTACCCTGGATGTGGGGTTGCCAACCCATTCAAGCAAGAGGCACTGACACTGAGTGGTGTTTCCAGATGTTTTCTCGAAACCTGAGTGTCTGGTTCTGCCCTACTAAAAAACCTCCTCCTGAGAGATCTGCAATTGTAGGTTGCTGCCCTCGTTGCTACCCCTTTACGATCGCTGTAGCTTAACCAGTTTCCACAATATAAATCTAGGAAAGGTTACACTTTAGACTGCTGCCTTATTTTCCAGCCTAGGATCCAGAATTTCCTTTGTTTACCCATAACAAAAACATGTCTGCAATGTATGTTGAGATGAATAGCCTTATTTTTCCTTAGATATTAAAACCCTATAATTTTATAACAATTCATGTTGAAGATATTAAACAGATCTTAATCTCTCACACGATAAACTTTTAAAGCCTATTTTTTATTGAAAAGAGAGCTTTTTTTTTTTTTTTGCGCTTAAATATTCCCAAAGGTTTGCTTTTGTGAATGTGTCTCTCTGCTGTGGTGCGTTTGTAAATTTGACAAGAACAGCAGAGGCGCTGTGATGACTCAGTGTGAACATAAAGTTTAGGCCTGAAAAATCACTTGGCAGAGATATTTCTCTCCCAGTATTCCACCTGTTCCATGGACTTCCCTTCACAGCCTCAACTGAAGCCGGAAGGAGCCCCCTCATCTACAGTGTAAGTAGGTACAGCTGTGGATCTTGCTAGAAAGTGTCTGCTCTGGTCTTACCATTCCCCAAGTGCTAAGGCACAGCTGTGTCCCTGTCAGCATCTGCCTTCTTCCTTCATCTCTGTCACCCAAGAGGGGAGCAGTAAAGTAGGAATATGTGGTGTTGTCCGCTAATCTGCAGCCATCTTATGTCCTGAGGTAGGGAGGAAGTGGAAGGAAGAAGCAGCAGCGAAGCAGACAATTTGTCAGCCCCTGCATCTTGGTATTCCAAGACAGAGCATGCTAATTCATAATTTAAAGGCTTATAGTTGATCGCACTTGAATCATTTATAAAGCCCATCCATGGCTGTCACTGCATTTTCTTCACATCTAAGCAACCTGGTAAGGGAAACTTTATCATTACACCCGTTTTACAAATAAGGAAACTAAGCCCAAAGAGGGGCTTAAGTGGGTGAAAGCAGCAGAGCTGGAACCTAGAACCCAGGTCTTCAGTTCTCAGCCCTTGCTTGTACTTTCACGTCACTGGGGAGAGGGAGGGAGGTCAAGCCTAGTTTCCTTCAAGGACTAGAACCGGATCTATAGAAATCACACTGTCTATGCTCAGTGACATCAGCAAGTAGCTTGAAACTTTTCTACTCAGTGCAAGAGCTCAGCCCCCATGCTGGGGACGCAATTCCCTGCAGTGGTGATTCCACCTCCCTGTCAGTGCAAGGATCATCTGCAAAATCAAAATCAGCAGATGAGGAACGGATTTTCTGCCTCTCTTACAAAGTGAATGATAACAAGTGCCTTTAGAACTCGCTATTGTAAACACAGACTCTAAGAGGCACGATGTCCTTTAGTCCTTATTGATATGGAGGAAGTTGAGAGAGGGGAAATTCACTCAAGAGTATTTCTGTTGCTGTTAAGGTTGATAACCTCAGAGCAATATTTTTCAACTTAAGTATTTTTAAAACCAGCTGTGTCTCTCTGGTTCTGGAAGGCATTGTCCTCTGAGAGAACTACATTGGAGAGAGGATGGACCCAGAACTTTGTTTCCTGAAAGGAAAGAAGAGATGTTCTGGAGACAGGACTTTGGCAGGGAATAAATGAGGGGCTTAGTAAATTTCCTCCACAAAAAGCAATGGTAACACTGGACAAAATGGTGAGAAGCAACCGTTTTATGGTTCTTGAATTCAGCCAGGTGGAGGAGGGGTATTCATGAAAACTACAGAAAGTTGGGTAACAGCAGTGTGAGTCTATGACCTTCTTGCCTGGATTCTGAAGGTGAGGCAGTTCTACCAGGACAAGACAAACCGTACAAACAAGTCGCTTTCTTTTCTGAGAGAGCTGACTTGATTCGGAGTGAAGCATAGAATAAACAAAAAATATAATTAAGCTTCCGTCTCAAAAAATTATAAAAAGTAGAACAAACTAAAAGCTAGAAGCAGTAAGGAAACAATAAAGTTGAGAGAGGAAATCAATGAAATTGAATACAGGAAAACAGTAGGAAAAAAATCAATGTGACCCTAAGTCAGTTCTTCGAAAAAGATCAAACCTTTAGCTATGCGAGAGCAAGTAGGAGTGCGCAGCTCGCGACCGCGCACACACCACAGAGAGATAGAGAGAGATTATCATAAGGAAAAGCAAATCAAAGCTACAGTGAGATGCCACTTCACACCCACTAGGATGGCTCTAATCAAAAAGACTGACAATCACAAATGCTGGTGAGACTATGGAGAAACTGGAACCCCCTTACATTGCTGGTGGGAATATAAAATGGTACATCTACTTTGGAAAACAGTTTCTCAAAATGTGATCCAGCAATTCTACCCCAGGTATATATCCAAGAGAAATGAAAACATACTTGCCCACACAAAGTCTTGTACATGAATATTCATAGCAGCATTATACCTAGTAGCCAAAAATTGGAAATAACCCAAATGTCCATCAAAGCGTGAATTGATGACCGATATATGGTAGAGCCACACAATGGAATACTATTAAGCAATACAAAGGAGAAAAAGTATTGATACATGCTACAACAACGTGAATCAACCTTAAAGACATTATGCTAATTTGAAAGAAGCCAGGTGAAAAAGATCACATACTGTGTGATTCCATTTATATAAAATGTCCAGAAAGGACAAATCATTAGAGACAGAGAGAAGGTTAGTGATTTCCTGGGGCTGGGGGTCGGAGTGCATGTTGACTGCACATGACAGGAGGGAGCTTGTTGGGGTGAGGAAAATGGTCTAAAATTAGACCATGCTGATGGTTGCCCAGTGCAATAAAGTCACTGAAAGTCATTGAATTGCACACTTTCAATGGGTGACTGTTGTGGTATATGTTATAACTCCATAAAGCTATTAAAAAGGGAAAGGAGAAGGGGAAATGCGAGAGGAGGAAGACGGGGTAGAAGAAGTAGGAGAAGAAGGCAGAAGAAACATGGTTTTGGATCCTGGCTGGCCCATTCCCTAGTTGTGGACTTTGACTCACGGTACAGTGTTCTAAGCTCCACCCCTCCGCAAGCTCATCTGTTAACAGCAGTCATGACTTGTACCTTCAAAGGTTCTTGTCAGGACTAAAGATCATAGGGAGAGTTCCTGGCACAGTGTAGATGCACAATGAATGATAGTTTTGTTTTAACTCTTCTCTTTTCCCACCAATGCTGTCTTTACCTTCTAGAAATATAGGTCCTCATAAAAAGCTACCAGGAAGTGTGATGGTGCAATGTCCGTGGGATCATTGCCTGCCTGTCCAGCTGTGCCTCCTCCAGGCTGAGGAAAGGTGCAGGCACACTCCGGCGGAGATCATTTCCATCATGGGTCTAGTGTTCCATAAGGCATCCTCCCATCTTCTATTTGGCTTTGGAAAATAAGACTATGTTTCAGTGAAATCTTAACACGTATATTCTGTGCTTTCTGCCTAAAGAAGGAAAAATGAAAAATTAGATTTGGAAACTTTTTCTTATTGGGTTATTAATCCTAATTATCCATGGTATATCTCTTAGTTATAGAAGCCCAGAATAGCTTTTTAGAATCAGCCATCTGAGTAGTTTATTGAAGATTTGCCAAGAATTTAAACAGCTTTCCCCAGTCTTCAGACTTCTGAGGGAGTAGGTGGAGAGGAGGAGGGCCCTGGGCTTCAGAGTCTGTTTCAAGGCTCTTGAAATGCCTTACGCTTCTTTCTTCTGAAAGAATGTTCCCAATGACTTAGGGTGCAGTTGAAAAGGCATCAAAGAACAGCAGCAGGGGCCAGGGAAGCTGGGGTCACTGGAGGCCTGCCCGGAAACTTCCGTCTCAGAAGCTCAATTTCGTCAGTTCACCCAAGGATGATCAGATACTAAGCAACCAACTTGGCATTAGAGAAAAATGATGAAATACTGTCTGTATGAGACATGACAGGATCAAAGCATTTCATTTCTATTAGAGAGAAGCCTTTCCACTGATCATAATGGGGTGAAGTGTGAAACACTTTCCCCATGCCTTCTCTTCCCACCCTCTCAACCATCCTGCAGACACCAAGACCCAGAAAGTCAACACGGGGAGTGAGTGAGAAGCTCAAGTGTGAATTGGGCCTGGTTATTTAGGATACTCTCCCACAAGTCACAGTAACCCAGATACCAAGTAAGTGAGCCAAAGTGCTTGGTGATAGTGGAGCCAGATCAAAGAAGTTGAGTGGCCCTTAAACAATTCGCTTGTGCCTTGGCAGAATCTAAAGAATTATTCCCCACTGCACGCACGTCTTCCTCCAGGCAGAATACCACTTTCCCTAGATGGCGTGGATGCCTGTCTATGCGCCTGCGCCTTCCTTCTCCACTTCCCTCTCTCTCTCACTCCCTCCTTCTCCTCCTCCCCTTTTGTCCTCTTGCCCTCTCCCCTTCTCTCCCCCTCTTTGATGAATCAGTCAAACTTTCATCATCCAACAATTTTGCTTGTAGTACATAGAGCCAATTGTCATCCCTAATAGTAAAGTTTATCTTTTGCTATTTCCTGAATGAATCCTCGAAATAGATATCCTCTAGATGAGATTTTTAGGAAACACAGTACAGCAACTTCCTGACTCTGGGGAAACCCAAACCCTGGATTTGTCAGGGACACAGTTCTCTGTCATCCTAGAATGATCATCTACTGGGAAAATTTTCACACCCACAGGAGGTTCTGACCTACCAGTTTGACTTGCTGGG